GACCAGTCAGAATGCTTGTGACTAGGCGCAGATTATGTCTAGTCCTAGTCAAGTATTTGTTTGCTGCAGTGTTGTCAGGGTAACCTAGGAGCTCCCTGGCAGCTCTGCAAATTCTTGTTTCATTCCATCTTTATAAAGCAATTGCGCACTAAAGGGACATCCTATATATGTGTATAGATAAACAAATATCTGAAGGTTAAAACCCTGTTCAGTGTTAACGTAGTGTTTAAAAAAAATTATGATATAAAAGATATTCGACAATCATTTACGTAACGGATGTTTCTGTATTATCAGGAAATTAAAAATTTTAATTAAGGAAATAATGCTAACCAATTACTGATAACCTATTAAACGGGAAGATTAGGATTACTAACGGAAATCCGAAAATCATACTAAGATTATTAACGTAATATTTACAAATATCGGGACGACTAAAGTCAACGCAGGAGTTTTTTGGCTCTAAGGCTAGCAGTAGAGCGACCATCAATAAAACCATATTGGGTTGGACTAATGATTTGGCGAAACTGAATCAATTTATATTTTAAATTAAAGCTCTCTTAATAATGCTCTGTGAACTGGTTTTTACAGAATTTTTTTTGCTTAGGATTGTATGACTACGAACATTCAGTTCATTTGCCTATTTTGCCGATTTTGTGTTCTTATTTTTGGTTTCGTTTCTTTATTTTTTTATTTTTCATTTTACAGAATTAAAATATCTTTTTGAATAAAGATAATTTCCTGACCGTAGTAGAATTTTATATAAATAAAAAATTTTCTAGGTTTAATTGGTCATTCTTTTTATTTTCAAACGTTTAGGAAATTATTTTTTTTTATCTTTGGGTGCAGTCAAAAGTTAAAACTTTAAAAAAAAGCACAAGGGGACGATTACAGTTTAAAATTTTTTAAAATAGCAGAAGGAGTATTCGAAATAATATTTATTTGGTTTAACACGATAACGACAAAGTAGGAAAACAAAAAGATGAGTTTTTACAAAGTTAAAAATTACCAGTGGCGTTACATTTAAGGATTAGAAACTTACAATTATTTAATAATATTAAAATAAACGTTTAACACACGTTTTATGTCTTTTTTATTATTTACACAGTTGTTATTTTTTTTAATATGTATTATCTCAAAATATTGTTCTTTTGTTGAGATTAGGTTCATTTTCGAGAATTCTTACATTTTCAAAATCGAGAGTGCAAATTTTGTAACGCCTGTTTAGTTAGGGCAGTGGAATTTTCATTATAAGTTGCGATATTATTTTTATGGTTTCTTTATTCTTTTATGTAGATATTGTTTTGTTTGTCCAATGTAAGTGGAACTACAGTTTTTGCAGTCAATTTTATAGACAACGTCTGGTTGATTTATTTTACTAATTTTGGGCCTAAAAGTCGAAAATAAAAAGAATGACCGATTAAACCTAGGAAAATTTTTATTTATATAAAATATCTCTATTTCTTACCAAAATATCTGGCCTGGGAGTTTTTATTGGTACACCCTGTACTTCAGTTTGCTGATCTTAATTTTCCAAGTAACTGCTAAATTCCTAGCAATTTAGAGTGCTTAAAAATAACAAGAAATTTTTAACAGATACGTCAGTTACTCTTATAACCCACCTTGTATAAATAATGAAAAGAAAGGAAACATAAAAATAATATCATAGTTTAATATTCAATCCATAGTTTGCAATACCTGATTTAATAAAAAAAATCATGTATTAATAACATAAAAAACAATATAGGGCCACCCTGTACATACAATACAAAAATTATTTTTAGAATCGACTTATCTAACCAGCAAACAAACACCAAGAATAAGTAGAACAATTCAAACCACATCTCTCTCTTCATATAAGTCTATTTCCGTCACTCTCATTAACTGTTTAAAATAAATCAACAAGCAAATTCGTTGTCTTTCCCGCCAAGCTCATACGATTGTCAATCTACCAATAGAAATTCAACACCTTCTATCACGTAACAAGCCAAGTGCATCGCTTCGGTCTACACACTCAGAATCATTCTCTTCTTCGACCAGCACACTTCAATTTTTTATTTCCCTATTGCGAAATTCTCATAATACAGTAATATGTTATAAGCCGATGTTTAATATTACCAAATATTATGTAAACCAATAGAATAAGTACAGTCATATGCGCCGGAACTCAAAAATTGCTTTGGATACCCGGCCTTTATGTGGAAAATGAGGGCTATCACCCCCCACCCTCCTCACCTTCCTTAAAGGCACCACAATTTTTTAAAAGCACTTATATATCTATTTTAAAGCGTTGATTTTATGAAAGTTTCCTTGAAAAAAAAAAGATAATGTCAAATGTCGAATTGAGGGGTTGGGCTGGAGGCTCTCACCTAAATCAGGATATCTGGCAACCCTAAATGCTCGGTGCAGCCACCACCGGTATTGAGTGGTACCAATGAAATAAGTAGAATGGTGTATTGTATATATACAGGGTTGCCATTTGAAACCAAAACAGAGCCAATTTTGGGCACCCCAGGTCATTTACGAAAAAACGCTTGGACTCGTCAATTTTTGATTTTAGTGGGAAACATTTTTTGCTAGTCCCAACCCCTGAACAAAAACCCTCTAGCAGGGGTGAAACTTACCCCTTAAATCTTAAATGGAAAGAGGGGTCGAATAACAGCTTAGTTTGAAGGTATTTTTACATATATTATAACCCTCGAGTTTTAAAATGCTACTGTTTTCTTAGCCATAATCTTTTAACGATTTTTATTTTCTGTAAAAGCTTACCAGTTACTCAATTAAATGCTGAAAGTGTTGACCCTGGGCCTCTATTCAATAAGAGAGGTTTTGTTCAAAACGCTCTCAGACATTTTAAAGCATCTGTGGGGTGATTTGACGGCATTCTTAAATAACCCGTTGTCGCAGATTTTCCACTGATGTTGGCTGGGTGGCATACATTTTAGTTTTCAAGTGGTCCCTTGAAAAAATCTAACGAGATTAGATCAGGAGACCGTGGGGGCTACTCAATACTTCCTACTCTTCCGATTCATTGTCCTGGAAACATTTTATCCAAATACTGACGAACAGAGACAGTGCGTCTTGCTGGAATATTAAGTTGTTTGCTATGTACTTATCGTCATTCTCAATCAACACTAGTAATGCTGGATAAATGGCGTTTTCTAATAATTCCAAATACATTTCTGCGGTTAAAGTTCCAAGTAAAAAAAGAGGCCAATCATACGGTTACTAAAAATGTCAGCCCAAACATTCAGTTTTTCCGGATGTTGCGTATGCACTTCATGAAATATTATTGGATTTGAATCGGTCCAATAACCACAGTTGTAACGATCTACCATACTATTTAGACAAAAAGTGCGTTCGTCTGAAAAACACACGTTGAAAAGAAATTGCTGATCATTTATTGCCCGTCCAGTCATAATTTCACAAAATTGAAAATCATCCTATCAAAATCGTCTTCGTTAAGTTATTTTACCAGATGTATTTTGTAGGGATGAAAATTGTAGTTTTTCAATATTTTCTAAATGATACTTCTCTTAATCCCAGATATTATTATCGCCAACTGCCTTGTAGTCAATGTGGGTTCTTAAACAACATGCCCTAAAATCGCCACCTCTGTAGCTTCATTTACTACAGCATTTTTCATTTTACGTTATTTATTAGCTACTGACCCCGTTTCCCAAAATTTTTTGACTAACTCCAAAATATACTTCCGACGGACTTGTCGATTTTAATGTTGATTGTTAAACAGTTGGGCAGTTCTATTAGCACATTCACTGTTCGCAAAAAAATTAAATTATTTGCACCCTCTCAGCAATTGAGTAAACCATTATTACTGATATGCCACTTTTATGCCGACTCTACAACGAAATAAACTAAACCTTACTACTTACGGAGACCAAAGAAAACTAAAATTGTTACAAATAATTCGTTTTTTTTTAATAACAATGTAAAAATTATGTTAAACTGGTTCTGTACTTTTGGTGAACCACTATACAGGCTACATAGATAGTAGCGATGTAAAACTTGGGGGTTATTATCTAGGTAAAAATACCTTCAAAATAAGATATCATTTGACCCATCTTTCTATTTAAGATTATAATGCTGAGTCTTACCCCCGATAGAGGGTTTCCGCTCTGGCAATAAAATGTTTCCCCCTAAAATCAATAACTGACGGCTCTGAGCTTTTTTTGGTAGATAATCTGGTTTTCCAGCACTAATAGAGAGCTGTTTCTGACTCTAAATTAACGTTTTCTTCTAACTGTGCTTGATCGGGAGCAACTTTCAAATGTTTTCCCTTCTCCCCTCAAGAATTTGCTCAATAGTATATGTACAGACCTCTTGTCTTAATAATTGTAGACCGTTATTAGCCGTTCTTTTTTGACGTCATAGGGTTTTATACGCCAACAATAATAAATCCTTGAGTTCAAGTTCAACGTGCTGCCTATGACAAGTTACGGCGACTTTTTTATCACATAAAATACAGCTCCAAACGATAATATTTTATCGAGGCATTCTGTCGCTATATCAACTTGGGCCACGACAGCTTCTTCATTTCATTTATTTGCACTTTTTGTCCGCGTTGTGCTATAGGTGCTCCTAGTTTTAAACTGCTCTGACAGGAAAGCAGAATCATCAGCGATTGTACCTACAAACATATTATGTTGCAGAGTTTGCAAATGACTAGTATAAATTAAGCATAGAATGGGTCAGAGAACACTTCCTTGAAGCACTTCAGTTCTCATTTATTTTAGAGTAGAATATCATCTTCCTGCTTGAAATACATCATGTTATAATCACAATATACAGCTTTGGAAGTATTTTATTTACTTTGTGAACCAAATTTTGGATGCCTTATCTTGTCAAAGGCATAGATACCGTCTAAAAATACTGCATTGGACTTGTTTTCCTTCAAAGGCATGCTCTAGTTCTAGTACGTCAGTGCTTTTTATCAAATTTTCATTAAATTTTCACCACTTAAATTAGAATTGAATTTGTTTTAGGCAAAACATCAATGCTGGCAACTGGGTTCGAATAGAATCAGCAGTTAGAAGAGCTGCAGACAAATACCAACGTGATTTTACCATAATCACAGGCACTCACGATGTACTAGAACTTCCAAATGTAAGCGGCGATCCAGTAAAGTTATACCTAGTATCCAAAAGAAAACTACCAGTACCGAAATTTGTATGGAAAATTATGTACGATGAAAATGAAGGAACAGGTATTGCGTTTGTCAGTTTAAATAACCCGTTTGCCGAGGGAATTACCGATGAAGATGTACTGTGCGATGATGTGTGCGATAGATACGGGTGGGGATCAAAATTTTATTCCGATATCTCGAAAGGTTACATATATTGTTGTGACGTTAATCAATTGAGGGAGGTGATTGATACCATACCTAGAATTAAAGTAAATGGTATTCTTAGAAATGCATAAGTAGGGATAATAAATAAATAAATTAGTATCGATCTCGAGCTTCCAATTTTGTATTTTTGTTTTCTAATTTTTGTGAATCAGTTGGATACTTTGAACCATATCTCGTATTCTTATATAAGATCTTATATTATTTATGTATAAAATATCAGTATTTTTAATTAAAATAGTATGTTTTAATTTCTGGTTAGGGGGCATCCATTAATTGCGTGAGGTGTTCAATGGGGGGAGGTATCAAGCTTAATCTTTCCAAATCTCACTTGGGGGAGAGGGGGGACTTTGTAAAACTGACATAATTTTTTTCTAGTAGAAAACGGTTTGAAATTGCGTGAAAGTACAGTTAAATTAAAGTAAAGAATGTTTCTAGAAATTTTATATTACGGAAATATTCACAAATACTAGTCTTTGCTAGTCTTAAGTAAAAGTAATAAAACATACTGTGTTTTTGTTATTTTAATAATGGACGCATTTACTCTTAAAACACAAATTTTGAAAAATCTCACGTGAGTTTGGGGGAGGAGGGAGGGAGTTGAGGAAACTCTTACGAAATCTCACCAGGGGGGAGGGGATCAAAAAATTTTCAAAAATACCTCACGTAATTAATGGACGCAGCCTTATTGTTGTTGAATAATGTTTTTATTTTAGGGGTAAAGTACAATTTATTTAGATAAAATATTGTTGAAAATAAATTATTCATAAAAATTTTGAAATAGTTTTATTCATTTACTTATAAAAATATAAATTCAGTGTCTTAAAAAGTGGTTTATTAAAAAACTGCTAAAATCAAATGTTTCACTAAGATCCTTCAGAATAATAGAAGAAGACCTACACACTCAGGTGGTAGGTGCAGTAGACAAGATCAACATCATTGAAAAATTAAATAAACAACAATGAGTTCAAGCTGAATACCTATTGTACTAAAAAAAGATTACTTACACATTTAAAGCAGAACTACCCCAAGAAGTTAACCCTTTTACAATTTACTTTGGGTTTCTTTGATTACTGAAAGTAAAGTAATTATCTAAAATGTACTCTTGTCAACATCGTACAAAAATGTGATTCTTTAAGAAAACTTTGAACTCTTTTAATGGACAACAAATGGTACATTTTGGTTCATTGGAAGTCCATTGGTGGACATATTAACTGTACAAAGGATGATCAGCAGTTTACCGATAGACAACCATTGGACTCTTCAAATGTTCCACTCCTGGACGGTCCATTTGGACTCCATAAAATTTTATATGGACTCTTTTTGTATTTATTTTGGATTATTTATGGTCATCTTTTGGTCCAATTATTTATTTAATTAACTGATGTTTGTAGTTTATTTGCAGCCTCTTTATGATCTTTATCTATCGCTAGGATGGCAGTATCATCTGCAAATGTAGCTATTGTGTCTTGTTCTAGTTGGGGTATATCACAAGTGTATAACAAATATAAAGTGGGTCCCAGGACACTTTCCTATGGTACTTCTGCTTTAATTTCTTTTAATTTATCTTGTTTTACGCTAAAGAATCTATCTAAAATGTATGAATCCAATATCTATGAGTATGGCTGTGGAAGTAGCACATTCAGTTTGTATTTTAAGCTATCATGCCATGCTTTATCAAAAGCCTGCGCAACATCGAGGAAGATGGCTGAACAGATTTCTTTGTTTTTTAATACTTTTTCAATCGCATTTGAGATTCTATGAACCTGATCTATAGTTGAATGGTTTTCTCTAAAGCCGAACTGTTACTCTGGTGGAATAAGTTTCCTTTCTTCAATGATGGGTTTCAGTCTTCTTATTAGTATTTTTTCAAATAGTTTCGTTATTGTAGGCAATATAGATATTGGCCTATATGACAAAACTTCGTTCGGAGGTTTTCCTGGTTTAGGAATCATATTGACTTTAGCTACTTTCCACAACCTAGGGACATACCTTAGTTTGAATGAGAAATTAAACAGATGTGTAAGTTTAATAAAGGCTTTTTTCGGAAGTTGTTTTAAGGTTTCTCCTGTAATTAAATCAAAGCCAGGATCTGTCTTAGGATTATTTATATCTTCTGCAATTTCCTTTGCAGAGGTTGGTCTGATAATTGAGTCATCTCTCTTTAGAGAAGCCCAGTTCGGTATTTCTCCTTCATTCGGTTGAAAGGTATTTTGTAAGTGCTTTGCGAATCTATTTACTTTTTGTATATTATTTCTAGCCCAGCTGCCATTTGTATTTCTGATTGGAGCATTCTACACAGTGGGCCTTTTTAATCGCTTTGTGGCTTTCCATAGAAAATAATCGGTGGATTAATCGTTTGTCAACACACTAAGGTAGATTCATTTTTGATTCGTTTTATCTCTCTTTTTAACTGCTGGGGGCGTTGTTAAATTTGATTTTATCTGATGGAGCTCTGGTCTAATGCCATTTCCTTTTTAGTTTTATTTTTGCATTAGGTCCCTTATTTATTTAGGATAGTTATTTTCTGTTGCTCGCTGCACAATAGGTGGCGTATTATTCCATGCTGATTGTTATATGTTGGACATAAGTTGTTCTACTTCTTCATTTAGCTGGGCTTTTGTTCTTAACAGAACTGAAAGATTGATTTTATTTTCAAGGTCCTGAAGCTTTGCAAGTCTGTTCTCCTATTTATTAGTCTAGGAGCGCTTTCCTTTTAGATAATTGTGTCAATAAAGTTCATGGACATCCAAAACATTATTTGGTCCAGTAGACATCGTGTGTATAATTTAATTCCAAACAGAATGGTTTGAAGAAAATTTCATCCTTGTCGTTTTTAAAATTGGAACAAATGCATGTCAAATATGTTAGCCAAATTGTACATGGTTGTTCCGTTAAGGCGCGTTCTGACGATTCGATTTTTGTTGACCGATTTTAGATGATTTTAGATGAACAAAAGTTGAATACAACTTGAATCAATTTTTGTTCACACGTTTCTATATAAACTAAATTATCAATTTCAATATAAAATGGCGTCGAATGCAGTTGTGCGTGAATGTGTACATATTGTTTCAGTTTTGTTAAAAGAAGAACTAAAAAGAATTATTGTTGATATGAACAGGAATCACAAGAAATGTCGTTTTTGGGTGAGGAAGTGAATTCTAAAAAGAAATAGGTTGGAAACATCAGAAACCCTGCTAAGGGAGTTGGCTTTAGAGAATAAAGAAGGGTATAGAAATCGTTTACGAATTTTAGAAGAGAAATTCGGGGAACTGCTCTCAAAAGTTCAAGATACAAAAAACAAGATACAGTGATGCATCAATAATCTCACCAAGAACAAAATTGCAAATAACGTTTAAGATATTTAGCTACAGCAGATTCATTTGCAACCCTTGCTTTTGCATACCGAGTGTCTAAAAATACAATTTCAAATTTTATGGGAGAAGTGTGTGCGGCAATATACAATGTGTTACAAGATTTTATTAAAGTAAGTAAAGTTATTTAAAACATTTAATAAATTTAAGTAATACAACATTTAAACTATCTACTCTAAATCTAAGAGACCTCTTATAGCTTTATTAGGTATCAAATTCGAATCTTTAAGAGGTGCTGGTGTATCTTGCGACTCGTCTGGAGCTGTTTGAGTATTATTTGACTCTTGCGAATCCTCTAGGCCTATATTAAGTTGCGAATCCTCTCCGTATTGTCTGTTCTTCTTTCATGTTGCTTGAATGCGGCGGAGACGGACATGAATAATACTGAGACTGTCTCGTTAGAATCTGCAATCGCTTTTCTCTTATTACAGTCTGAATTTGTTCTTGGCACATTATTGCATCATAAAGGGAATTTATTTTAGCTGTAAAGCGATATGTTCTACAAATATCTCAAATTCATCATCACTTTTATTTTTTATCAATTTTTTAACAATCGCTTTTGAGAAGCACGAAAGAAATGTGCTCTCTTTGATTGATTAGGCGTAGACGGATTGGCAGTTTCTGTGTTTTCTGTTGGTGTAGGTTCTGGCTGAATATTTCTAGTAGTAACAGATGAACTCTCAGATGAAGCTGTTGATGGAGGAAATTCATTTTCGTTTTCTGTTTCTCCTGCATTATCCTGCATTTTTTGGCTTTTAGCTTCATCATCATCAAAGAAAAAAAATGTATTAAAATACTTTACATTTTAGTAACAATCAATTAAATATGCAACAAAATGTTAAATCTATTTTTTTTACAGGTGCCACAAAATGAAGGAGACTGAAAACAAATTCAAAGGGAATACTACTTTCGATAGAATTTTCGTAACTCTTGTGGGGGCCTTAGATAGAAAACATATTTTAATACGAAATTCCCCTTAATACCCTACATTTTAAAGCCCTTTGGAAGAAGTACTCATTTATCTAAAAAACAAAAAATTTTGAACTATCGCTTATCAAGAGCTCGTCGCATTATTTAAAATGCCTTTGGAATTTTGGTTTCTAGATTCAGGGTTTTTAAACGACTTATAGCAGTTGGAATTGCTAAGGTCGATAGAATTGTTAAAGCTACCTTAGCATTATATAATTGGTTAAAAATGAGTTAGGATAAAAAGTGTATACCAACAGGCTCTTTCGATACTGAAGATTTAAATACTAGGCGCATTATAACGGGCTCTGAGAGAACACATAGAATTGAAGCAAATGGTTTAGTTAATTTGCAAGTTAATTCCTAAATTCGCAAAGTCGCAACTACACAACATTAGCGTCTAGTATACGTGATGAATATGCCGAATATTTTGCTGGACCTGGAACTGTGCCCTGGAAAATAGATATGTTACACGACGATGTAAATAATTAAAAGTTAATGTAAAAATATATGTAAACATAAAAAAGTATACTTACTAAATTTGATGTATTTTTAACACCTTTTAGAAATATATCCGCTTTTATAAACCAAAATAATGTTGGTATGTACAATTCCTCTATTCCCACTTCACATTTTATTGATTTGTAAACCAATAAATGTTCTTCTTTATACTTGATAGTCTTGATTTTGTTCTTTAAATCAGCAATAGTAAGACCAGAAATTCCCATTTCCTTTTAGTCCAAGCGGCGACCGCCGTAAAAAGGTGGTCATCCAGTACAAGTACAAAAATATATTTTATTACTTTTTGGGTATTAGATGAATAACAAACCATCGGTCTGGTAGTCTATGACTTGTCCAATTTTTTTCTCGAGTATCTCTATTTCTATATTTATTCGTTCCGTGGTTCCAAAGACAATCATGTTTATGGAGTTCCAAAAATTTAAACACAACAGTTTCAGACCAATTCAACCTCATTTTTCTGAACTACTGTTTACTTTTAATAATTTATTTCCACAAATCAAAACAAGATAAGCTTCAACTCATGAGGATGCATCACTTGATTAAAAGTTTGACTGGGTCAAAATTTTGTTGATCAACTAAAAAGTTGATTAACTCTATTGAAAGACAGATTCTCACAACAGTTTTTATTCAATTTTTGTTGATCAACTAAAATCGGTCAACTAAAATCGACTGGTGAGAACACGCTTTTAGAAATAAAGATGATTCAATTCTTAAAAGTTAAACTGATAATAAGTCGTGTGTTTTTACTCATTTGCGTGAAATTGCACATGATTTTTAATACACTCAGTCACGGTTTTTCCGTGCATTTCTTTAATTTTCTCCTCGAGGATATTTCCCACTCAAACCCTCCATAAACTTCCCGCATCCCATTTAGGCGAGCAGTTAAAAATAAAAAACGCCTCTTGGCTTGATTT